TTAGTCTTAATAAACATTCAAAACGTTAGAAATATGTAATTGCCAGTATATGTGACTTAAAAATAGTTTGTGTTCTTGTTCAATAGTAATACATGTTGTTATAGAAAGTTAAGAAACTATAGATAAGACAAAAAGACTTCAAAATGTCTGGGTCTTTTAAAAATATTTTATTTATTGATTTGAGAGAGAGAGAGAGAGAGAGAGAGAGAGAGACTGAGAGAGACCGAGAGGAGGATGGGGAGAGAGAGGAAAAGATCGATTTGTTGTTCCACAACAAATGGAGATGGGATCTGCAACCTTCATGTGTCAGGACGACACTAGCCAACTGAGCTACCCAGCCAGGGCAATGTGTGGATCTTTAGACTTTCACCTCTACCATGTATTCTGTCTCTAAGCTTTCTCTACACTTAACTACAGTCATGCGCCACGTAGACAACCTTTCAGTCAACAGTGGACTGACTGCATGTGTGATGGTGGTCCCATAAGGTCATAATTGAGCCGAAAAATTTCTGTCGCTTAGTGACGTGGTAGCCATCATGATGTTGTAGTGCAACACATTACACACATGTCTGTGGTGATGCTGGTGTAACGAACCTGCACTGCCAGTCGTATAAAAGTATAGTAATACGATTATATATAGTGCACAATACTTGATAATGATTATAAATGACTGTTACTGGTTTATACACTTTATCACAATTTACTATACCATACTTTTTTTGGTATTTACTATACCATACTTTTAATTGTTATTTTAGAGTGTACGCTTTCTACTTGTAAAAAAGTGTGCTGTTAAACAGTATGTTGTGTTACCCTGTCAGCAGCTACACATCTGGTGCTTACCGTGTCTCTTGATGGTGCGCCATTTTCTCTTGTGCTTTATTTGATCTCATGTTGTTTTATAACTTTAGTGTAGACTAAGTGTACAATGTTTATGAAGTCTGCAGTAGTGCACCGTAATGTCCCAGGTCATCACATTCCCTCACCACTCACTCACCAACTCACCTAGAGCAACTTCCTGTCTTACAAGTTGTATTCATGGTAAGTGCCCTGTATGGGTGTACGATTTTTATACTTTTTATACCCTATTTTTACTGTACTTTTTCTGTGTTTAGATATACAAATACTTACCATTGTGTTACAGTTGTAGTATAGTAACATGCTATACAGGCTGGAAGCCTAGGAGCAGTAGGCGATATCATACTGCCTAGGTGTGTAGTAGGCTGTACCACCTACGTGTGTGTAACTGCACTCTCTGATGTTCACACGACAGCAAGATCACCTAATGACACATTTCTCAAAAGGTATCCCTGTCATTAAGCAGTGCCTGACTGTACTTCCTTGTCATCCATACTTTTCCTGCCAGCTTTCATTTGTAGTAAGTGGCTTTTCATGGCCATCTTAGGAAAACAACCAGGTGTAAAAATACCTTTTTATAATAAGAGTTTAGTGAGAGCTTTGGCTTTTTCTCCCTGGACTATGAGAGGTATACATGAAGGTGAGCAACAACAGCATTATCTAAAAAGAAATACAATAAATATCTTGCAGAACAGTTTTTGAAATGCAGTCAGTTTGGGATTTTGTTTTAAAAATTTACTTTAAAACATTTTGGATTTAAAGTGAAAACTTGGAATCTTAAATAAATAATATTGTGGCATTGGTTTTTATATAGCTGGACTATTTCTTTGTCTTAAAAAAAACTCTTGTTTCCCTATTTCGCATTAACTTTCTCACAGCTAAAATTGTTCACAACACAGTTTAAAGATAAATGCAGTATCAGGCTTTGAATTCCTTTTTTTTGGTAAATATTAAGACCTGAGTACAAAATGAGGGCTGTATTGTGGATTAAGTGAAATATCTCAAGGCTGTGCTGTTCTGATAACTGAACCTGAAGTGACCTTTCTCAGACACAATTACAGAGCTGTATGTTTTTCCTTTAATTTCATCAGGGGTTTAATTAGTATACAAATAAAACTTCCCTTATCTTCCTTTCTACCTAATTGGCTTGTCTTCGCTTGTATATGAAGTATGTGAAAGTGGGCTGTAATTAGGGTGACCGTGTTAACCTTTTTTCCTCAAATGTACTGTTGCCTAAAGGCCTCAAGGCCTGAAAACAGTGCTTTGGATTATTGCTTTGCAATCACTATGGCTGTCCCACAGGTTTTCTCATGAGCAGAAGGGCTTTGGGTGCTGCAGGTTCCCACTGCTTAACAGGATCTTCATTCTTCTCCCCACTAAATGTTTATTGATTATCTCGCTGTTCCAGGCTCAGCCTCCAACAACTTAATATCAGGTGACAGTCAGGAGAGTTCTCCAAGTAATTAGAGTTGAGCATTGGGGGAACAATTAGGAGCAGAGTTATTAAACTTGATTTATCCTATTCTCTCCTGAACAGTTTCTTGGATATCAGAACATCACACTTTCACAATCTACCCTGGTTGAGAAATTAGTGGCTAACCTGCTGCTTATCATTGTTGCCTTGCTGCCTAGAGGCACACCCTCTTGGTTTCAGTCATTCAGTTGGAAATATTAGAGTCCATAAAGTTTATCATAGGTTTTAATTAGGTAAATCTGAACAGGAGGAAAGCTGAATTAAAAACTGTATGTATGTAAAACAGGCATTATATACGATTTAGGTACATATGTGTGATACATACATGCACACAAATGTAAATATATTTTTCTTTCTTGAATACTCAGTGTTAGGATTTTAAAAGAACTACTTTGTCATCAAAAACAAGAAAGGTGAGTATTAGAGAAAAAACATTATTGAATCATTTTTTATGTCTTGTTGTTTTGCATATATCTCTATGGACCCATTGATGTGAATAGCTTCCATTGTGATGTCCCTCAACTCTTTAAAATGAGAATTCTGTGTGTATTTGATAAAAAGTATAATGATTAAAAACAACTTTTATCTCTTCATTTTCACACTAAGGAAGTATGGTCTCTGTTACTTTGTTTATACCACTTTCTGTTCATTTTCTGTAATTTCAGTCTTGGAATAGGCTCTTCAGCTATGCCTCTGAAAGTGAGCTTTAGGAGAGATTGACAGCTCCCTGCCATTGTCCCTAAAGAGGAAAATGAAAGAAGATTGAGACATGTAGTAGAAATTTTAATTTTATGAGTTATATCTTCTTTGAAAGGGTATCCTAGGATTGTTGAAAAGTCAAGTGTGGTTTTATAATGATTCCAAAGTCATGGGTTCACTCAGATTGGACCAGCGAGCTTCTATTATGTACAAGGTTGGAGACAATGTCCTGAATACCCCTCACAAATACACACCTCTAGCATGAGTTACTGAGCAAAAGAATTTGAAAGGATTTGCACAAATCTATTATTTCTGTTGGAAAAAGAATTCAAGCTTTATGTGTAAATGACTGGTGGTGGATCATTAGTTTTATCTTCATACCTGAAAAATGCCATTTTTAAAATCTGAGATATGTCAGAAATACTGGCTTTAAAATGACTCAAATATGGGTTTTTTTATTATTTTTTTAATGAAGAAATCACATGATGCTTCATTGCCTTTAAATATCTTAACTTTGGCACAAAATAAGTAGGTTTTCTTATGGCTTTTAAAATTTGTTTCTTGTCTTTTTGAAGTTGGTTTGAATCTGACTATTTCTATAGTAGGATGGTCTTAAAGATCTGTTATACTAAAGATTTAAAGTAAATTATAATATTTAATAAGTAATCACAGTTTACTTATTTTTAATTTTTTACATATTTGTCTGATAGCAACTTGACTATTTGAAATGTAAAATACAAAATTTAAAAATTCAACATTTTAAAATACCTGATTTGATGGATGATTGCTTTCATTCACTAATATTTAGAGTGAATTCATTGTGTGAGCTCCAGCTTGAGTTTTTTATACTATATTGTGAACGCACTAAAAGAATATTATTAGGAGAGTTTCAAACATGAAATTATTTCATTTTGGTTATTCTTTACTGGATATTTGAAGCATAGTTGTGACTGAGCAAGAAGAAAAACAATTATAGGTATGCAGTCAGTTATTCAGCTCATTGTCCAACAAATTTAAATGAAAAACTGTTTGATAAGCTTATATTTTTGAAATTTCACAGGCAAAGGAGTGAGCAGATTTTTAGTGCTAAGAGATACTCTGGTACCTATACTATTTTACATCCTAGAATTTAAATGAGCTCTAGAAAGTGCTCCTTTAAATTGTGAGTTTCTCATTCTAAAACTTCTAGCCCTAAAGTCAAGATAAAGTTGTATTCTTGCATCTTGAAATTTTTATGCTAAGAGAATATTTTAGATTAAAGCAAATAGCAAATAGCAGTGAACAGATTTTATACTTCTGCGACTATTAGAATATTTATGGAATATAAATAATTCCAACTGCAAGTATTACTTATACCTTTCTCTGTTGAAACATGTTGATCACATTGTGTTGCTATTCTGAACATGAGAGTTACTTATAGGAAGTAAGTGAATTGTATTTTGGAGTTCAATTTGTCCACTGACATGTCTATAGCAACTGTTGTAGATAGATTTGGAAAGACAGTGGTATTTTTAAATACTGGGTTCCCTTTTCTCTTCTAGGTGTCATAATCCCCCTTCCTCTCAATCATATGCATACTTTGGGCATATGATAGTTTTGGTTTCAAATAGACTTTAAATTTCATGTGCTCCCCCCCTCTTTATTTTTCATCATTAAAAGAAAATGCAACTGGAGGTTTTTATAAGCAGATCTTTTTTAGTAAGAATAAAATGTATTTGCTTTGCAGTATTTTAAAAAATAAAATAGAGTTGTGTTTTGTAGCTAAACATTTTTCAAAATCTTATTGGTTCTATCATTTCTAATTAGTAAGTATGTAAAATTTTTGCAGAAAATTTGTTAAGCCTTGATGTGTAATGACCCAAGTCTACTTCTCAGTCAGTCTGTACTCTTCTTTGTTTAATAGCCTATGGCATAAATTGAAGTTAATTATCAGGGCTGACAAGTAACTCTGTTTTCTGTCTGCTTGCAGAGTCTCTCCGAGGCAAAGATGGAGCTGAGAAGAAAAGATCAATCTCTGCGTCAGCTCAATAGACATCTTACCCAGCTGGAGCAGGACAAGCGTCGACTGGAGGAGAACATCCACGATGCTGAGAGTGCCCTCCGCATGGCAGCCAAGTGAGCATTTGGACCTTGGGGAGATCACTTAAAACAGACAAAAGATCAATTCTTACTTTCATGCTCCGGGTTTTAGCCCTGGATAATACAGTGTTAGAAAACAAAAGTACAGCTGTCTCTCTTTGAAATTCTCTGATATATCCCCAGAAAAGAAAACTCTTCACTCAACATTCTAAATGTATACTTTATTGAGAAACTTCAGAAAAGTATAAGTGTCTATATAACATCTAATGAGGTGTATTTGGGGCTCTGTTGAAATGTTACATGTTTGAAACCATGCTTTTATTAATAAGAAATGTAAGTCTCTTTATTTAAAAGTTTTGCAGAGTTTCTTCTATTACATATTCCTAACCCCTTCTTGTCCCACTTATTTCCAAATTTTGCTCTGCATATATTATACTAATATTGCAAGTAATATTTCCATAAAAATGTTAGTATACAATCAACATGTATATCATAGCATCTTTCTAAGTGCACTAAAAACATATTGATCATTGAAAAGTCATTTAATTTTATAGCTGTCTATTCTGATATGTTAAATAGAAAAAATATACAGTTTTCAGAGAGAGCAACTATGTAAATGTGATGGGAGTGTTTTTCTTTTACCAGGTAATCAAGTTGACATACACCATGAAGTTCAAATTGAACAGTTCTCTTGGGCATTTTTATTTGTTCCCCACATTAAATTACATGGAGTACTTTAAGACAGTCCTTTGTACAACAGCATGGCTTAAAGAAAATCTATTTATGGATTAAAGAAACGTCTAATTTTAATAAAATAAGTGTTTTCTAAATTTGAAATTCTGGATTCCTATACTTACAAAAATGTTTATATTAATTAAACATTTTTTGAGACAAACTCTCTTGTTAAATGCTTATCATGAAATATGAATATAGTCTGTGAACTAAATCATAGGATGGAGAATCTGCAATCTTAGGATATCCACAGCTTTGCCAGTGAGCTTGGGAAATTGCTCATACATAATGAAAAAATCAGTTTACCAAGGCCAAAATGTGGCATGTTTGAAAAATATAAAGCTGTATAACATTGCATCACTGTATTAGGTGTATACAATTGTCATAGAAAAAAATATAAATTTGACTAAATCGGGTTTTTGTTTTCATTGTTCAGTGGTAAGTTTCCTCAGGCCAAATGAGAAGGTGATTTCTAGTGTGCTTTATAGTTCTGAAAATTCTGAGATTAAGGAAAACAAGGTTATAAAACCTTCAGATTCATATTATATCAAAACATTGCTGCTAATTCAAGAATTTGGCTTGTCTGTGAAATTTGAAGAGCTAATACATTGATTGCTTCCGGTTTTCAGTCTATAATTTAACATTACATTTTTGTCTTTAGCATTTTCATCCAAACTTCTTACTTAATTATTAAGGCCAAATTCAATATGTAAAGCCAGTAGAAGAAATTAGTAACTTTGCCTAGTTCTAGTCAAGGTCATAGACAGTTTTTGTGCATTTATTATAGCACAAAAAGACTACAGAAGGAAAATATTATTTTGCATAGTATGGCCATTTATAATATATCCCTACCACTAATATTTAAAATTTTTTTAAATTATAAATAAAAAGAGTAAAAGTTTAGCCTTTTCAGTACATTTTAATTCATTAAATAACCATGATTTTATTTTTCTTTCCTTTTCACTTCTTTAACTTAGAAGATGCCCTTAAGATTTTTTCCCCTCCTCTAATCTATGATAGGCAATATGATTGAAGGTAAGAGTTAAATATGGGGAAAAAAAGATTTAACTGTGGAGATATACCAGTGAGTATAGTTAGGTTTTATGCTTTTAGAAGGAGTACAATGATAACTAACCTTTATTTTTCAACAATAGCAACTTATGTTAAAAATGTATAACATTTGTAGTAAGGTATGGGTTTTACTAACACCTAATCTTTGTTTCTTTCTAGAGACAAAGATTGTGTTGCCAGTCATATGAGAACAGTAGAAAATATGCTTCATAAGGTATTGTAATTTTTCTTAAATATTGTTCAACTTGTATTATGACACAGTTCTCCTAATCATCATTTTTATTAAGTGCAGACCACTTTAATTCATCTTGTACTTTCTTTAAAAATAAGTGAGCAAAAGGTCCTTTCAAATGACTGAAAATTTGTATTATACAGTGCTACATTGCATAACTTTTTCAGAATTCACATCGTGAACATAATAAAACTATGAAAATAGCGGTTTCCCCAAACTGATATAATTGCACTTGAATTATTTGTGGTCTTTGCTGAATGAACCAGAGGTCATTAAGATTCTTACATGTCTCATAATCATAAAATGTTTGACCACACTGTCTAACCTCTCACCACTCTTAAACCTACTATCCTATACATGTATATATAGACAGAGACATAATGTATTGTATTTGGCAATACTCATATATCTTAGCTAGGCAGTAATGTTTTCCAAGTTGTAATTTATGTTCTTACAGGAATGTTTTTTAAAGTAGAAATTTAATATATTTAATAATGTTACATTCTTAAATTCGATTACTTCTATATGGTAAATTGACTTTTCATTTGCAATGATGAGCAGCATTATAAAGATACTATGTTATTACTAAAAACAATATATTAACTGGCTGTGTATTTTATTAGCACTTCAAATTCAGAGATGATGTATTCACTATTTCACTATTTTAAAAATAGAGAAATGTTATGTATGTGTTTCTGTTATTGTCTAATTGACAATTTGTTGAAAACATAAATACCTAGTACTTTTAAGATAAATGTAATTTATGAATGAATCATATTTAGAATAATATTGTCAATCAAATTTATTATATAGTATAATTTAAGGAAATATTTAATAAATAGTAGCAAACTAATATTTAATATATTTTAACATTATGGAAACATTGGGCCTCCATATTCTTTTATATTGAAAATGACTCACATTATTTTATATCACTAAAGCATTTGGAAAAAACATCTAATATTCTAAAAGCTATTTTTTAAAATAATAGTTGTTTGAAATTATGATTTCTCCCCCTCTAATCTCTCATTTTAAAAAGTTTACACAGTCAGTATAGTTTAAATATGGTCACAGCAAACTCATGTGCTGGAAATCTGAAATTTAGATTTGTAGGAAAAGAGACATTTTTGGTTAGATATTTTTTGTACCATGGGTAGGAGAAATCAATTATGTCATGTATATATGGCATACCTTTTTGTATGGTTATTGTTACTTTTGACATCCAATTGTTTGTTCTTTTTCCCAGCTAGAAGAAAAATGTGTTGAATAGCAGCTATCTTAGGCAATGAATACTAACACCAGAGAAAAACTATCATCAATAATATCTAATCTAATAAAAGACAAACATGCAAATTGACCATACCTTTGCTATGCCTTAAGCCACGCCCACCAGCCAATCAGAGCAACTGTATGCAAATTAACCCAACCAAGATGGCGGCCGGCAGCCACGGAGCTGGAGTGAGCAGGAGGCTTGCTTGCTCCAGTGATGGAGGAAGCCAGCCTGCTGCCGGCTCTCAGCTCCACTCAAAAGCAACAAAGTTGCAATTATAGAAGGTAAATAAACCCCAGATACCTGCTTTCAGCCGGCTGTGGCCACGGAGCTGGAGCGAGCAGGAGCCAGCTCTCGGCTCCACTGAAGGCAACAAAGTTTCAATTATAGAAGGTAAACAAATCCCAGAATTAAAAAAAAAAGGGAAAAAAAGGAGAGGCTAGGAGCTTCCATTACCGACGGGCTTGGCCAGCCTGAAAATGGCCCTCAGCCCCTCACCCAGACTGGCCAGGCACCCCAGTGGGGACCCCCACCCTGAAGGGGGTGTGACCAGCCTGAAAACAGCCATCAGCCCCTCACCCAGGCTGGCCAGGCACCCCAGCGGGACCCCACCCTGATCTGGGACACCTTCAGGGCAAACCAGCCAGCCCTCACCCGTGCACCAGGCCTCTATCCTATATAGTAAAAGGGTAATATGCAAACTGACCCTAACAGCAGAACGACTGGGAATGACTGGTAACTATGACACACACTGACCACCAGGGGGCAGACGCTCAATGCAGGAGCTGCCCTCTGGTGGTCAGGGCGCTCTCACATGGGATGAGCTCTGCTCATCCACAAGCCAGGCTGATGGCTGCCAGTACAGCGGTGGTGGGGGGAGCCTCTCCCGCCTCCTCAGCAGCGCTAAGGATGTCTGACTGCAGCTTAGGTCTGCTCCCTGCTGGCAAGTGGACATCCCCTGAGGGCTGCTGGGCTGCCAGAGGTATGTCTGACTGCCAGCTTAGGCCCAATCCCCCAGGGAGCGGGCCTAAGCCAGCAGGTGGTCCTCCCCCGAGGGGTCCCAGACTGCGAGAGGGCACAGGCCGGGCTGAGGGACCCCTCCCCCCTAGTGCACAAATTTTTGTGCACCGGGCCTCTAGTATATATATGTTATCCTTTCCTTATGAGAATGGAAAAATATATATTTTAAATATAATAAAGATTGATTGCAACAGGACAGTTGTAATCGTACGGTTCTCTCACTATAGTTCCCCCTTTGTTTTTTTTGTATCATATGGAAAGAAAGATGTCTGCGGCTTTGGACTATAGCCACTGGAGATTTACTTTTTCTTTATGGCTTTTCCCTTAAAATTTAATAATTATTTTGATTTACGTCTTTGGAATTTTCTATTTATATAGTGGTTTTTAAATTATCAATTACTTTTAAAGCTTGAAGTAAAAATTTAGGAAAGTTTAATTGATTATTGAGCTAATTCTCTTTTATACAAAGTTTGGGTGAGAATGAATGGATCACAAGGAAGTGGCCCAGGGGTTTCTCTGAAAGTCTCAGGTTGGTGCAGAATGTTGTTACGTAGACATGCCAAAGTTCACAGTTTATTTTTCTGGTCATTTTGGACTGTCTAGTAGTAGCATTTTGCTGTCTTAGAGAAACTAAGAGTAGTACAGAAGGAGGAGTGTCCAGGCTCTTTTTTAAAAAAATATGTTTTAGTGATTTTTTACAGAGAGGAAGGGAGAGGGATAGAGAGAAACATCGATCAGCTGCCTCCTGCACACTCCCTACTGGGGATGTGCCCGCAACCAAGGTACATGCCCTTGACCGGAATCGAACCTGGGACTCTTGAGTCTGCAGGCTGACGACGCTCTATCCACTGAGCCAAACCAGCTAGGGCTGTCCAGGCTCTTTTATGGGACAGTGAAAATGGTTGTGTTTACTTCCAAACTCTTTAGCACAGTTTACCTATTTAAATTTTCTGTTTCTTTTTTGAGTCAGTTTTGGTAGCTTGAATTTTTTCCAGGAATTGGTCTATTTCATCTAGCTTATCTAGATGAAATAGACAAATTTCATCTGGAAAGTGAACATGCAATTGTTCATTTTCTTATAATTGTTTTTATTTCTATAAGATCAGTTGTATGTCACCATTTTTAGTCCTGATTTTAGTAACTTATTAATATTTTTTTCTTGGTAAATCTAGTTGAGGTTTGTCAATTTTGTTGATCTTTCAAAGGAACCACATTTGGTTTTCTTGATTTGCTGTATTGGTTTTCTCTTCTCTATTTCCTTTGTCTGTGCTCCAATAATTTATGTCCTTTTTTGTTTGCTTTGGGTTTACTAGTAGTTTACTTTAATTTTTTTACTTTTCTAAGATGGACCCTTAGGTTATTGGTTTGGGAACCTCCCCTCCCCTCCTCTCCCCTCCTCTCCCCTCTCCTCCCTCCCTTCTCTTCTTTTCCCTTCCTTATATTTAGCCCGCTAGACTCAGTTAGATGATCCCATTTTTTTAGCAATATCAAAGAATCA